ACTTGAATTATTTAATAGCATTTAAATGCCCAAATTCAAATATTTATGAATTAAATTAGTGACCTTCTGTTGACCTAGAAAAATGTGCACCTATTTTCCCAAAGGTTCTAACCCAAGGCAAAGAGGGTGAACATTTTAGAAGGGCATTTCAGGTTCATTGAATTTATTTTTAGTAAACCCTAGTTGATTTCAGGGGGGGTGCTAGGGGTTCTGCCTTCCCCATTTCAAGTTTCTGATGAAAGTAAACATGATGCACACTCTAATGCATGGACTAGCTAGGGTGTGACACCTCAGTCAAATGGGGTAGCCAAAAGAAAGAACCGAACTCTAACTGATATAGTTAACACCATGTTAGACACATCGGGTCTTTCCAAGGAATGGTGGGGGGCGCTAATGACTGCGTGTCATGTCCTAAACCGAGTTCCCACAAAGCATAAGACCATGACTCCGTTTGAGGAATGGGAAAGGAAAAGATCAAAACTCTCTTACCTACATACTTGGGGTTTTTTGGCGAAATTCAATATACCAATTCCCAAGAAGCGCAGGCTTGGACCAAAAACCGTGGATTGTGTTCTTCTGGGCTATGCTTTTCATAGTATTGGCTATAGATTTTTTTTAATAATAAAATCAGAGGTATCCGACATGCATGTTGGTACGATTATGGAGTCGAATGATGCAACTTCCTTTGAGGACATATTTCCTATGAAGGATATGTCGAGTTCATCAAATCAGGAGATACCTACTCCATCTAGTGAGGAATTCGTTGTAATTTCTGAACCCACCATTGCGATGGAACACGTTGAGAATCCTGTTGAGGGTGACAATGGAACTCTTGTGAGGAGAAAGAGACAGAGGACTGCAAAGTCTTTTGGTGATGATTTCATTGTGTACCTTGTGGATGACACACCCAGGACTATTTCAGAAGCCTATGCATCTCCTGATGCTGATTACTGGAAGGAAGCTGTTCGTAGCGAGATGGATTCCATCTTAGCTAACGGTACCTGGGAGATCACTGGCCGTCCTTCTGGGTGCAAACCTGTAGGATGTAAGTGGGTATTCAAGAAGAAGCTTAGACCTGATGGTACGATTGAAAAGTACAAGGCACGGCTTGTGGCCAAGAGTTATACCCAGAAAGAAGGTGAAGACTTCTTTGATACTTACTCACCCGTGGCTAGACTGACCACAATTCGGGTGCTATTATCACTGGCTGCCTCAGATGGTCTTCTCGTACATCAAATGGATGTTAAGACAGCTTTCCTCAATGGAGAGTTGAAGGAGGAAATTTACATGGATCAGCCAGATGGTTTTGTAGTACCTCGTCAGGAATGAAAGGTGTGCAAGTTATTAAAGTCTTTATATGGCCTTAAACAAGCTCCTAAGAAGTGGCATGAGAAGTTCGAAGGAACATTAACTGCTACCGGCTTTGTAGTAAACGATGGTGACAAGTGCGTGTACTATCGCTATGGTGGGGGCGAAGGAGTTATTCTTTGTTTGTATGTCGGCGACATACTGATCTTTGGAACCAAACTTGATTTAATCAAGGAGGTTAAGAATTTCTTATCTCGCTGTTTTGAGATGAATGATCTAGGAGTAGCTGATGTTATCTTAAACATCAAACTGTTAAGAGATGAGAACGGTGGGATCACACTGCTTCAGTCTCACTATGTGGAAAAGGTCTTGAGTCGTTTTGGATATAGCGACTGCACACCTTCTCCAACTCCATATAATGCTAGTTTGTTGCTTCGAAAGAACCGACGGATTGCTAGAGATCAACTGAGGTATTCTCAGATTATTGGCTCGCTTATGTATTTGGCGAGTGCCACGAGGCCTGACATCTCTTTTGCTGTGAGCAAGCTGAGTCGGTTTGTGTCAAAACCGGGAGATGATCATTGGCATGCGCTTGAGAGAGTTATGCGCTATTTGAAAGGCACCGCGAGCTATGAGATTCACTACACGGGTATCCAAGGGTACTGGAGGGTTATAGTGACTCAAACTTGATATCTGATGCTGATGAGATTAAGGCCACAAGTGGTTTTGTTTTTACACTTGGTGGTGGCGCTGTTTCCTGGAAGTCTTGCAAGCAGACCATCTTAACGAGGTCAACTATGAAAGCAGAACTTACAACATTAGACACTGCCACTGTTGAAGCAGAGTGGCTTCGTGAACTCTTGATGGACTTACCTATGGTTGAAAAACCAATACCCCCTATCCTGATGAACTGTGATAATCAAACTGTGATCATCAAGATAAATAGTTCAAAGTACAATATGAAGTCCTCAAGATATGTGAAGAGGAGACTAAAATCTGTTAGAAAATTGAGGAACTCCGGAGTTATTACGTTGGATTATATCCAAATGTTGAAAAACTTGGCAGATCCCTTCACAAAGGGTCTATCACGTAACGTGATAGATAATGCATCGATGGAGATGGGCTTGAGACCCACCGCATGAGTTGTCCATCATGGTAACCCACTCTATGTGATCGGATATCCCGTGAAGTAGAAGTGGGAGATAAGATGTTGGTCAGCTGGGAGGAGAGTATACCTATATTAACTATCCCACTCCGTGAAGATGCAATACTCTCCTGATCTGCATGGCAGGTTGATACATATCTTAATGTGTTTCAAGTGGCTTATTCGGGTAAGCAGAGATGTTATCCCGCTGAACATCTTCTGAGGAACATACCTATATGAATTTGACTGTTAACGTCGCAGTTTGTGAGAATTGGGTGTTCTTTAATAAATTCATGAAAAGGCCCTAGAGTACGACGTATACGCTCCACCCGTGGGGAAGCCTTGCGGCGGCCCAGTATCGATCAAGAATTTATGTGAAAATAGTCTCGCAGAAAACTTGTAGTTCAAGGCATAGTCCACTATTCAAGTTGTGATCTAGTGTAGCATAAATCTCTAAGTGGAAGTTCAACCTCACAGTCTCCACTAAGCAGCGGTATATAAACAATGTTTTGGAACTAAATGATGAGATGTGCCAATGAGACTTTGTGGGAGATTGTTGGAATTTTGCTAGTAGGCCTTTGGCCCAAAGCCTAACTAAAATTCTGAAATTCTCTTGGCCCATTCATGCACACATGTGAGTGGAGTGAGTGAGGCTAAAGTTTAGTCCCACCCTAAAAGTTGAGAGAGAGTTGCACCTCTTTATAAGGTGAGCTTTTCTACCACTTGTATGAGCATGACAAGAGGAAACCTACACGCGCGCTCCTCCTCCTCGCTCGCCTCGCCATGCCTCGCCTCGTCACGCCGCGCCACGGGTTGTGGGATTGAGCCGAGCCGAGGACAGAGCTATGCACATTTCCGATTCATTTGGATCGTGATGACTCGGACGTGGGGTTTACTCCCACGACCTGTCCAGCCCGCACTATATAGTCAGGCAGACGTCTACCCTAGCCGCCGCCGTTTCGTATGGTTTCTCGCCACCGTTTCAGATCATTGCGCCGCCAAGCAAGTCTTCTCCATCCCTCCTTTCGGCGTGCACCGGGAGAAGGGACAGCAGGCCTTCGGAACCCCGCCTCTCGTAATCCTGTACGGGAGAGGGGCGATCAGGTTTTTGGGGAGCGCATTTGCGCGACTGCTGGCAACGACTTCGCGAACGACGACTTCTTCCCCGACCTCAGCAACCTCATCCTCGAGGACATGGGCGACAACGTCAACGCCGGCGGTGCTACTCCCGCTGCACCGTATGTGATTCTATCCTTCCTGTTCGAGATCGTGGTAGAATTCATGTTTCTAGTATGTGCCCTAGATGTGATATGTTCATTTGCTATGCTAGTTCGCATGATTAGTTTAAATCTCTGCTACTGTAGTCATGATTTATCTTCTATTTATTCGGATTAAATCTCGTAGTAATTTGCTCATATTTTCAACATTGATATCCAGACTGACATCATTCTTCAGTTTCCACAAATGACAAAAGCGTTACTAATCTGAACCAAACAAATTTGGCATTTTTCCATTCTGTTACCGTTGCCTCCTGTGGTATGATTCCAGACCCTTCACATTATTAGCAAAGCTGAATCAAACACGGTCTCAAACTTTTCCGTCCAAACACGGTAATCTGAAATTGCTAGTAGCCTAGTCATAGTGTAGGCCTAGAGGGCAGTCCACATCAACACATTCCCACATTTAAAGATCACTAGGAATGGGACATTCATATCAGTCTAATTTCCTGCTAATCACGGACGGCATGCATGGACGCAACATGCATTATTCCAACAGCCAACCGATTTGATATACCACACACCACACACACACATTCCTTGGCATAGTTAGATAGCATGATCCCCAACAGCCAACCGCCCACATAAGAGCCAAGTTCACCAGAAATTTGATTTGTGTTGGTATCCAGACTCTCTGTTCATAGTAATTGTCTATTCTGATACCATTGGTCAGTTTCCACAACCAAACAGCGTTACTAATCTGAACCACATTTTCTTTGGCTTCCATTCTGATACCGTTACCTCCCACAATATGATTGTAATACCATTTACATTAACAAAGCTGGACCAAACACGGTCTTAAACTTTTCCATCCAAACACAGTAATCTGACATTGCTAGTGGGAATATGGCATTCCACCTCAACATATTCCCACATTTATAGATTACCAGGGATGCAACATTCATATCCATCTAATTTTCTGGAACCCAAACACAAAACACATGGATAAAAATTATATTAAAGTATTTGCTTCTACAAACAATTAATCCACCGAAACTGATAAACCTAAACACTGGAATAATAACTGTCCCCTTTCCATTGAGCGATAGTTTACATTTCTGGACTCTACTAACTGGAGGTAAACATGATAAACATAAGACCCTTATAAGGCCTGCTGCAATAGATATACTGATGAATTAATGTCCGAATTACAACGGTAAAGGAAGTTGCATTGCAAGCGATAGATGTGTGCATATGAGAAACACACACGCTTGGATGAGGCATGAGAAAGTGTCGACCCATGAATCAATGGCGCAGCTAGCTGAGATTGACTAACAGGAAGACACAGCACTAGGTGACATAAGTGCCTGCTCGTCAGAGCAAATAGTGCCATATGCACCCTGGTGGCTCTGTCTTTCAGTTATAGCAGGCAACTCTATGCCGTCCTCCAGGTATTTCATTGCATCCTTCATGTAAGGACGTTGTTGCCTAACTGGGTGAGAGCACCTGAGTCCCAGGAAAACCATGCGCTGCATCTCTTTCATGTTATAGTCGCCATTTAGTTTGGCATCAGCGACATTCTCCAGAAACTGGGCTTCAGTTCCGCTGCTCCTCAGCTCCTCCAGCTGGATTTGCTCCCTGGGCTTCTTTCCACATGCAATCTCTAGTAGAACAATTCCAAAGCTGTAGACGTCGGACCTACAGTTGTACTCTACCTCCCCATCTTTAATGCATTGTGGATCCATGTACCCCAACGTCCCGACAGCAGTTGTCATCAGCATGGTACTATCCTTGTCAGTGATCCTCGATAGCCCGAAGTCACCAAGCTTGGGGTTGAACTCATTGTCCAAGAGTATGTTGCTTGGTTTGATATCTCTGTGCAAGATGCACCGCTTGCATCCGTGGTGGAGATAAGTTATACCAGACCCTATCCCCTTTGCTATTTTGTACCTGTTAAATTAATATAAGAAGTAAAACAAAAGTATAAAGCAACGTTCTTAAGTTTATCATATAAGGACCAAATGTGCTCCTTGCATATGTTAACATGTGGAGTACAAGAAGCTGAAATATATTGTTATATCATATAACTATGGTCAAAGCCATAGACCATAGAGTGTCACTCTATACCAGGTATATAGAATGATTACTCTTGGTAGCAATTCATTTTACCTGCTCCAAATTAAGGTGCATGTTCTACAAGTTCGAGGAAAAAAAGAAAAGGTACGAACAATACATGCATACCTCTTCTCCCATGGTAGAACATTCTTCAGGTGGTACTCCAGGTCGCCGTTAGGTACCAATTCATATACAAGGAAACATTTGACCTTTTGCCGACAACCGCAACAGCAGAAACCGACACAGGCTGATTTGTTTCGGCTGCAGCACCAACCTTTCAGCTCGACTAGATTCATGTGCCTCGTTGCACTAATCGTCTTGAGTTCGTCGCTGAAATCCCTTCCTGCAGTCTGCTTTATTTTCTTCACAGCAACTTCTAATTGCCTGCCTTCCTCATCCTTGTAACTCCCCTTATATACTGCACCAAAGGCACCGACTCCAAGCTTGCTTTTCTCCGAGAACTTGTTTGTTGCCCTGGCCAACTCTCTGTGCTCAAATCGCCTAAGTCCGGTTGTTCCCAACACTAAGGAATTTCTTTTGACTCTCCACCTACCATGTGACCAACCTGAAATTATGCACCAAAGCATGCCTAGCACATACAGAACAGCTACTGTTCCGTTAATAATCACTGTTATATCAGCTTCGCTACCTGTTCAAGGATGGGCCATGCTGGTCAAATATTGTTGAAGTTACTCTCTTCAAGGTACACATCTTCAAAGCAATACATCAATTTGCAAAAGAAAAGCAATAAATCAAATTTATACTGAATTTCCTGGAGTCATGGCACTGTGTTGTACTCTGGTTGCGAGAGTTATGGTTAGTGAGGGCCTCTTTATTTAGAGGGAATTTTAACACTTTTTCGAAAATGAAGGAACATTAATTGCAGGACTGTAAATTTAGAAATCTTCATCTACATGAGCCTTTCTGTTGAGTTTATGGGATGTCAATGCATACGACTCTTCTTTAACGATTTCTGTTCAGTTTCATAGGAAAATATTCACTAATTGGATATCCTTAAAAGTAATTTAAACCTATTGAAAGCCTTTTTTTTGTGTGTGGCGTGGGCACAGATTTCCTGTAGACTGTGCCAGACAACTTCTTTTTCTTGCTCTTGTGTTTTAAAATTCCTAAGCAAAGTGACCATAAAAGGCCATCTATAAGGTAACAAGAATACATGACCCTTTTTGGTCCACAAAAATATGATGATTTGGGACACAAAACGGTCTCCAACTTACAACTCTGACCATTATTTAACGTTATAATATGATTATAGAACTAAATAAAATTGTGATATCATGGATCTACTGCTTAGGGAAAAATATACACATTTGAATGTAAGTACGTCAAAACATATTGATAGTCAAAAGTTTCAAAGTTGTTTTACACATTGAATTGATAGTCAAGTTTTAAAAGTTTGATTAGACCCGTTTCAAATGCACCAACGTTTTTGGACTCGAGGGAGTAATTAATAACTAAATAACTCGATCAAGATCCACTTCTGCCATCCCTATCCACAAGTACTACTCTGACGTGCATCCCTTGCCCTTTCCCAACCTAAGTCATACCAGTCCAACATCCACGGCCAAGCCATTACCATCAACCGCAACTAGAATTTACACATGATCTTTGGGAATTTTAGAGTGTGCCAAGACAAAGCTGAGCACAAAATACAAGGTCTTGACAACACCTGGATGCAGCACAATTACATAACCTAAATGTTTCCATGTCCTCCATGCAAAACGGCAGCACAAACCTGCAGGTCTTCATCAAGCAAGTCCTCTTTGCTTCTTCTAAAGTTTCACATATTCTCTAGAATGTCTTGCCATATATTATGATTATTGTATGCAGCATGGCATGGTCTAGCCAGCATTTTGTCATGGTATTTTTTTGGCGGAGCTAAATGTTGTTGGTATTTGCCGACTTAAGCATTATAATCCTACTAATTATCAAAAAGCAATGGCCACTTTCAGTGTTAAATGCAATAGTAAGGCCATGACTAATGGACATTATCAAATTATTGGAAAAATCATTTTCTATGCTATACAGAAATATAGCAATTGACATTTAAATCAAAGTGTATCGTTATTGTAATTGAAAACAATATTCATGCAAAAAAAATTGTAGGATCACGAGCATATGGGGTTTTCTACCTGATCCGCCAGTGCCTCCTGATTCCTTATTGTCGCCTGATCCGCCAGTGCCCCCTGATCCCTTATTGTCCACTGATCCACCAGTGCCCCCTGATCCCTTATTGTCCACT